GCAGGTATCGAAAAACAAGAATACACATCCACACCTAACGTACAACCTCGCAGTTAGCAGCATATATTCTGGCAACTTATTTGTAAAATCCGACTAAATGTATTTCTGACAAGCCTTCTAAGCTATCTGATAGTTGAGATGAAAAAACAAACAATACCAATATGCACCACGTTTTTCGGAATGTTATTGTGCAAAAACAGCCACAGGCAATAGGGAAAAATCATACAAGACAGCGTTCTGATCACACGGTTGTTTCGTCTGATAAGATATTTGATAATGGTAGAACTTTGATGGGACACCTGAAAGAAAATGTTCTGCAGCGTTAAACGAACTTTGAGCCGATCGAAAATTTGAAATATGATTTGCGCATCAGTGGAATGAAATTTCAGAATTGAAGCTTTGAATACATATAGCCTCTTTTACAGTCTTGAGATATGCAGCAAATCAAGTTCTATTAAGGCACTTCTTCGTTTTTTCCCCTTTATTTACAATGCTTATTTTTATCTTGAAGAAAACTCCTCTCATGTATAATGGTTACATGATAGTTCCACCCGATTATATATGCTGCAATCGTGAACTTTGTGATCACAACATGTTTCCATCCTTGCAGCAGCCACCTGTTGATCTATTTCATGATAACAGTACGTGCCAATTGTTAGATGATATCTATTTGTCTAAGAGCTAATTTCATTCCTGGAAAGTTTTGACCAATACGCTGCATACTATATTTTACACATGTTCGACTTTTCGTCAAGCTCCATTGGCATCGAATCATTCTAACTTGTACTTTTGTGCCAATTCTTCGAAAATTATATCTAAACATCGCGTTTTAGATCGGATTGAAGACTGTTTCTATGGCGATGATGAATCTTACACTGGCAACAATTCGTTTTGTGCAAGAAAAGATTGCTTCAAATGTATCATTGGCAACAGTACAGTATGTGTTGCTCATGTGCGTCTACGAGATAGATACAAACATTGTATTAAGGGATCTGATGAGCTCGATCCACACGTATATGATCAAAAAAACGAGAATTTCGTTTCAAACAATATGTGATGGATTCATCGAACTGTTTCCATTTGTTATTGATGGTCTCAATGAAACAGATGAGATTGACTGCGGTCACTTCCCATGTAACAATATTTATACTAGATGTGACGGCGTATGGTATTGCATCAATGGGATAGACGAAGTCAATTGTGAGTGACCATCAATATGTCCTACACTGCATCATATGTGTATTTCAACGGTGATGAATAACCTCGCATGTTTACCTATGAAACAAATAAATGATGGTACGATTGATTGCCTAGGAGCAAGTGACGCACGATACTTTTGTCTTCAATCATCCAAACCACATAATTACCGATGTCGGGATAGTAACAGATGCGTTGCACTTGTGATGGCTTGTATGCCTAAGAAAGGAACCTGTGAACACAATGGAATTTCACAACATATATGTAATGACATTCGTGTGGCCTTGGATTGTCAGAAAGCGATAGATATTACTCATATAGAACAACATCTCTATAGTCTCAGTCTAAAGCAAAAGCCAAAAAGTGTATACTTATCGTTGATCGGTTCCATATCTTATTCAACATCGTAACCAAAAGGTAAGTTATCAGCTAATAATTAAATTCTGATTGACTAACCTATTGTTTTTGTGAGATCTTTCAATATATATGGCATATACATGTCCTATAAATAGACTCGTCTTTGAGATTGATTGCATGAAAGTGAGACAGTGCAAAAATCATTGATGTTCTCTATGCTTGATCGAAACAGTGTTGGAAAATATGTTGATATACGTAGACTTTTTTCCATGAATTCAACTCATCTAATCATCCATACTGCACATATAGAAAACATTAGCTATCTATTGTCAGAAATTGGCTTCATTCATTACTCTAGGTGTTGAATGTCTCTAGAGTAGCATTTATCAATGCTGAACAGCAGTAGGTTGGTTTACTTTCTTTGTTTTCTAACGAATCTCACTAATTTCTTTCTGTAAAACCGTTTCCAACTGATTCATATTATTCACAGGCAGTTTAAAGGATGGAGTCTCAGAATGAATTGAAGCTAATTCTTTTCCTATATTGGTTTTTTGTTAATAATATCTAGAGGAACTGTTGGTATCCACAACGACTGTGGCGAGTTCTCAGACTATAAATACTACCAATGCGCCAGAAAATAATCTTTTGATTTGGTACTGTAATCGTGGTACACCTATCTACCATATTATCGACATCTCAAATCAAACACACGTTGAATGTCTTTGCTCTCTATCATACTACGGTGATCGATGTCAATACCGAAATCAGCGTATCAGTCTTACATTACAAATGCATGTAATGTTCGACTGGCGAACTATCTGGTCAATCATTATTACTCTGCGCGATGATGATGAAGGTTTGATAGAGTCATTCGATCAACGGCATTACTTACTTGCTCGGGATTATGATAAAAAATTTGATATGTATCTTCTTTATGAGACTCGACCAAAAAATTCATCAAAAAATTTTAGTGTACAAGTCAATGTCTACAATCGACATACACTGGAGTTTCGTGCGAGTTGACTCTTTCCTATTCGATTCCCATTTTTGCCTGTTCATCGGATGACCTTTCCGCTCTATATTCCATTCTCTCGAGTTTTGTCGCAAAATTGCGATAGGCTACAATGTAGAACTCATGGCTATTGCTCTGAGTATGTGAACACGAGTGCCCCTTTTTGCCACGGTAATGAAGGTTGGTTCGGTACTCATTGTCATATTCAACATTCGTGCCAGTGTGCATCCGATTCACTATGTCTCTATCCTTTTGCTTGTTTATGTCCTGTCAAAAAGTTCGGGCCTCGTTGTTATTGGAAACATCCGTCTTGCTATTATCACAATAGCGAAATTTGTGCATTCAGTGATGATCGTTTAATTGAGCAAATCGAATTGACTTACATATGTCCTGAAGGTTTTTCTGATCTCAAATGTGAAAAACATGACACAGGCGTTGTGCTCTCTTTTGCAACGGACATCAAAATACCATCATCGATATTCGTTCACTTTATTGAAGTATCCGGAAAAAGAAAGCCTCCCATGCGTACGACTATTCAAAAAAAAGATACGGATCGACGAGGATACAGTCACTGTTTACAAATCTAGTTCATTTCATCTTGTTTTCGTCGAAACCGAACTAAAATCTTGCCATCTCATTGTACTTCAATTGGAATATGTGCTGTCAACAACCATTTCAACAAAGATCAGTCTTGCCAATCGCTGTTCGTCCATTAGAAAACTATTCAATCAGAGTTTTGTAGCAATGCATCGACTTCGTCGTATGAAATACTATCATGTTCCATGTCAAGAGCGAACAAATCTCGCTTGCTTGTACGATGAAGCTCAGATGTGTATTTGTCATCTGGATCTTCGTCAGGCAAACTGCTTCGAATTCGACCACAATATGAGTTATAATTGTGATGGACGTAGTCTATATGAAAATGACGGTTGCTGCTTTCATGGCATTTCTAAATGTTCTAGAACAATGATCTGCGTCTGTGAACCATGCTACTATGGTTTTCGATGCCAATTTTTCAACAAAAGAATTTCATCTTTCTCTTGATATTATTCTTGGTTATCAGATTCGGCCGAATATATCCTTCGGACAATAGCGGTTGTCGATCAAAGTGACAGTCGCCATCATCACAGTATTTGTTGTTTGTGGACTAGTGAGTAGTTTCCTTTCTTTTTTGACCTTTTATACAAAGAAAACGCACGATACTGGCTGTAGTCATTATCTTCTCGCATCATCGTATCTCTCTGCCTTAGTGATGATTTTTTTCGCATGGGATCTTACTATGACAGCTGCAACTCATATGGGTTCAATCAGAAATCCAACATTTCTGTCGGTCAACTGCATCTGTATTGAGTTTCTTCGTCGAGTTCTTCTTAGCACTACCGATTGGTTGAATGCTTACGTTAGTGTTGAACGTCTGATAGCTACTGTAAAAAAGATTTACTTCAAGAGAACGAAAGCCAAGTACATCACTAAATGGATCATTGTTGGTATATTCTTACAAAACATTGTCACTCATCTCCAAGAGCCGATTCATCGCCATTTGATTAACGATGAAGAGGTAGACCGTACATGGTGTATCCTACGGTATACATTATTCATGAAAGTTTTCCATTCGATCATATCAATCATTCATATTGTTGTACCATTCATACTTAATATGGTTTCGGCATTGATGATTATTATCAAGGTAGCTCAACATCGATCAAAGACGAAAACAGAGCAACATTCGACACAATAATTGCGGATTCAGTTTTATGCATTCAAACATTTGTTGATTAGTTCGATCATACTCATTGCGTTAGCTTTATCTCCACTTATCATGGTATTTCAACGGGTTGCATGAAATCAGGACGAGATCCATTACTGTTTCTGATAGGTTATATTACTTCGTTAGCTCCACCGATGCTCATATTTGTAGTGTTCATACTACCATCAAATCACTACAAAAATCATTGACAGACACAATTAAAGGCATACGAAGACACATGTGCAACTCGTAAAGAGGATATGGACGTGGAGTTCAAGATCCATTTTACTCGCTTTCATATTCACATGCTCACACATGCACATCTCACAATCATCCACGCCGACATTCCCACCCGTGCTATATTTCAAATATTTGTTTTCTGTAACTCTGTCCGTTCGCTAGTAAAGATTGTCGTAAACATTTGCTCTATCAAGATAACTTTTTTCTGTTTTTGTTTTAATCTGTTCAATTAAACTCTTTCATCAGAGGACTTCATAAAATTTCTTGTTTATATTACACAATCAGTCAGACTGATCGAATACGATTTTCACAAAACTATCTTGCTTATCGATAAATGATTTATGTATCCTATCGATGATAAGGCAAAAGTTTTCGTCAAATAATTTATTGCGAAACCTTCGTAATATTCGATTACGAAGGCGAGAACTTTTTTCATGCTGCTCGATCTCAAAACAATCCGGCATAGTACGGCCACGTAGCAATGCCACACATGTTGGCATTTCGTTTAATTTTGATATAGCCTTCATTACCCCAAGAGGTGCCCCAAGAATTTTTCACCAACCAATAATCTGTTCCATTTTCTGTTCCGTAACCAATAATGACCATAGCATGATTCATATTTTCATGAGTTGGACAGCCCGGAACATCGTAAATACCGGATGCATAATGATCGAATTTGGTCGATGCTTCGCGAAGAATCGTATCGTTACCTTCACGCTTTCCAGCATTGTAATAGACATAGATTGGGCCTTGCTCATAGACGGTTTGCTTCATGTATTGTTCATTATCTGTCGGCAATGAGCGATACTGAAGATGATAGGTTGAATTAGTGCTCAGCACTTGACCATCAGGATTTTGGCATTTATCCTGTTTGGAACCTGTTGGTGTTGATGGATAATCTTTTTCCAAGTTGAGTCGATCACCATTGCCATGGATATAATTGAAAACACCGACGAAGCTACCACCTTCACATCCATTTTCATAGGAGCAATCAATTAATTGTTGTGGACTCAATGGGCCACTACTATTGTAGATTTGCGCATAAGTTTTTTCCAAGGCACCGACCATAGCAAAGGCGTAACATGAACCACAATGGCGTTGATTTTTTATTGGCGTAACTGCATTAGGTACTCGAGTTTGATTTCTCCAATCATAAGTATCTGGCACATTATTGATTCGTCGTTGGCTTGCATCCATTACTGGTGTATAATTGATCGGCTCAACGGCAATTTTCGCCCGTATTTTTGCCGATTCTTCATCTGTCCAATCGCTCATATGATTCAGTTTTAATTTGAATGTCGATTGGGAATTGTGATTATGGGCAATAACCATTTTGAGATTTTTCTTGAAAATTTCCTTACGTTTCATTTGATGGACGGAGTCAAATACTCGTGATTGTTCTGGTCGAGGATATGTTTGTTGATAGTATCGATAAATACGATCGATCAAGAATGGATTGCTTTCAATGACATCCAATTTATTGTCATAAGTCACTAGAAGATGATCCACAAACTCCTGAATGGATACTGACGAACTGGTAGATCCAATCAGACAGAGACCAACAATGAAGAAGAAGCGTTGCATTGTTTTTCGTCTCGTTTTTCACATAGAAGCGAAATGGCTCTAATGACGTTTCATTATATACGTTTCTATCGGGCTTCCATCTGTTTTAGTTCTCAGTATGCTAATGTCAGATCAAAGAACAAGCATTTTTCTTATCTCTTATGGAAGAGATACAGAAGAAAGAAAATAAACGATCAAAGTGCAATTTTTTTCTTGCTCGATTTTACTAAAGGACTCGAACGGATTTTTTTATCTAAGTGGGTGCGTGAAAGATGCCAAACGGTCGACAGTTTCAACGATGACGCATACACAATAAAATCGGATTTTTCAAGTATTGTGAAAATAGTTATGGACTTATTCTTCAAGTATGCATCACTTGATGGTTATTGATAGATTAATCGCTTGTTTGAGCCAAGAATGATTTCATCAAAACAGTCCAAAGAGAAACATGAATGAAAGACATGCATTTATTATTGAAAAACGAATAAAAGAACAAGCCTTAATATTCAGGCTAGATGGTACAAAATATTTCAGTGTTTTTTTTTAAATAGCGCAGCCAAATGGCATGCATATTTACATCAGAGCACCCTTTTCTGTCAAAACCACTGTTCCTATTTCCGATACAACGCTTCAATTATTCTATTAACATACTCATCGAATAACATTAAACGTTTCTACTTCATACTTGCTCTCGTTTATGACAGCTATCGTCGTCATTTGTCCATCTCTACTATATTCTATTCTGGTTCGAAATGCATCGAGCAGCATCATCATTTATGATCCTGGAAACTCAATATTGCTACTGCTCACAACCGATTATAATGGTAAGTTTTCTTCGCTTTTCACAAATGTAAAACGACGAGAAGAATGAATATGTCCTTCGTTGGATCAAGAGTCAAGTTGCAGCATTCAATCCTTCTGAAAATGGGACTACTCATGTAGATCGCTTCCATTTACTTTCTGTTATTGTGTCTGTTCTATTCTATCTAGTCTTACTGCTCATTAGTATCTTGATTTGAATTTCTTTCACCGCATTCAGTGATTAAAACGAAACTGTCTTAATCATCAAATTTCTACGCCTTTAATTCAACAATGTTCCATGACGTTCATCTGAAAGCCTCTAATATATTTATGGGTGTGTATGTGTAAGCGAAGAGGGCACAAGCACATACATCCAAACCCACACACGGTTATTCCCGCTTAGTTTTTGAGTTTGGTTATTTATCAAAAATAGTACCACAAAATAGTCATTAGCTAGAAGACCTAAACACTAGAAAAGTGTGATGCCATCTGACAAAAAAGTTGAAACAGATCTCTGCAAGAGCGAAAATATCAAATCAATAAACAAATTATACAAAAGTTGATAAAGAAAAAAAGATTCAAAATTTTCAACCGGTGTTTTTTTTATGAACTACGATCAACTATTGGTTTTAATGTAAAATTAACAACATGAGACATCAAAGTATTACAAGTTCTGTGAAGTGTAAGTTCAAGCACTAATATTCTCTCATTAATTAAGAAAAAACAACACTTGTCTGTAATCATTATACTATAATGTTGTGTAGTAGTTACGTGGTGTTTTATGGTTTCCCATGGTCTGTATTATATTTGAAGTGCTTCAGAAGAATGAAAAATAATTATTCCAAACGTGTATGTTAATTTGTTTTCATTGGAAAAAATATTCCTATTTGTTTTTTTTTTTTTTTACTTTGATGAAGTCTTAGTTAATGGAGAAGATAAACTATGCTAGGATCAATTTGGTAAACACGGTTGGAAAAGTGATGATCTTGATGAATTTTGTTTTTATGTCCAGTGGAGCAGTTTGAAAAATATTCATCGATACTGATATCAATAGATGGTGATCTCGTTCAAGAATGTGATGAGAAACATATTGTTGATCAATGAGCTGTTAATTTCGAAGAACTTTAAATTTGGAGTTAACAGAAAATCAGTACTATCAAAAATGTTGTTTTGTTAGAAGTACAAGTAAAATAAAAAATCAATAATTGTGTTTTTATTCAAATATTTTCATTTTTTCTCGATCGTAGTGAAAGATGCAAGATCGAAATGTATAACCAATGATGGACATGTTTTATAATGTTAATGTTAAAGAAATAAGCTGACAATTTACTAGATCGATATTTTACATATTAGTATTGCTTTTTTTTTTCAGTTTCGCATGTTGTGTTAGTATAATCACACTGAGAAAATACTATAATCAAGGATGAATTATAAAATGTGGTCTTCTTATAATTATAATTGACAATACTGCATTGATTCGGGTATATTTTTTTCTTTACTTTATTGGACAAAGCTTAGAATACATAAAATAAATATACAAGTCTTTAATAAAAATTGAGATTGAATTCGTTTTCATTGGATTTGTATTTTTCTAAACTGTTGACGTTTCTTTTACAAAAAATTTATTGCCGATGTATTGAATCAGGTCGTTCAAGATTTTAATAGTTAATCAATGGAAAAGGTCGACAAACTGATGAAACGTTAGCACTTGTTTATTCAATAAAATCAACAAATAATTTAGTTAACTACAAATCACGAATTGATAATGAATTGCACAGCACCAATATTCTCAATTTCGCTTTACATCCGCATCACAGTAATATGGAATAATTACACTAAAGAGTTTATAATGTTAGCTTCTTGTTATTGAGACACTTTATACGATATTTTTTAGCATAATACAGTGGTTCTATACAGCACTGCTTTATTCAACGTGAAAGTCGAGGAAGCAGCGCTCCTCAGAAGATCGGATTAATTCTCCTCCGCCTGAGTTTGTGGTTCTTCTATTATATACACTCTGTCTGTGTTCTGAAAAAAGATAGATCTTTAGCAGAATAGTTTATTGTGGAAGCTTAAGGTCTTTTTGTTGCATCTGTCTTAAGATACGTCTATAGTTAAAATGTATCTTTCACAACGTTCATATGCATTGGTAGATTTTATGTTTTTATTTCAGAATAGGAATGCATCGCAACATTCAAAAATTTTTACAAAGAACTATTCTATTAAAAGCCTATCTGTATGTAACATTTGAAGTGAAAATTCGACAATCAGTTTTGTTGAAGTTTCTCAAAAATACGGTCAACACGCAATATCTCAGCAGCAGTTAGCTCACAGCGTGGAATCTTCTCCATTTTTTCTAAAGATATCACGTAATCTTTAGGTGATATATGTGAAGTAAAGTTCGTATAACTTTACTCAAAATAGTAAAGTATAGTAAAGAAAACATTGCACAACAAAATATTGTAGTACAAATCGAAGTGAATCGTTCTTTTTGACCCCATATTTCGCCCTGTAAATAACAGAATAGCAGACTAGAAAAAGTTCAAGATGATATGGATCCCTTTTATTATTTGACTAAGATAGAGATGTTTTACTGAAATTTTTTCTCTAAAAAATTGGTTTTCGATCAAAATCATATTTTCGAACTCTAACATAAAACTTTGCACATATCGAGATCTCAACTAGACTGACTTATACAAAGTCTCATGGCAAAAATTCGAAAATATGATTGTTTCGAAAAATTAGATTGTCACAGGAAGATTTCAATAAAATTTCTCGATCTTCGTTAAATCACAATATGGCACTAAGAGAGAAGAATCACCTCGAACGGTTCCCTCATAATTTCAGCATTATGCGTTGATAATGATACAACACATGACAATTTTTTCAATATCATTTCCTCATAAAACAAATGAAAAGAAAGTAATGTTGAAATATGTTGTTTGTCCATTTTACTCCATCTTATTTTTCACTTTTAAACTACAAGATTTTCCTATGCTTTACTTTTTCAAATTAGAATAAAGATAAAATATCACTTCTTGAGTATTCAAAGCTTAATATCGGTCAACATGATGCATATTGTCTCAGTTCACACACAACTAATCATTTAAGCAAACTTCCCTAATCACATTGTTTTCAACAAACTATTAGAAGCAGAAAAAATTTCAATCGATCTTATCAGTTAAGAGACTTAATATTGAAATATTCTTTCATGTTGGATGTTTATTTTTTATTTGAAAACGATCATATACATCCAATAGATCAAATAACATAAAAGAGAATGTAATAAAAAGACAAGCAAACAAAAAAAAACCAAGACAATATGTAATGATCTCTATTAACCTAAGGAGTAACAAGATAAAGAACAACAACGAAAGAAAAAGAAAAAAGAATGTTCAGCCGGATGTCAAAATCAAATTAAAATCAATATTGATTAATAATAGCCGATATATTTTTATTAATTTCACGCAACTTATTACGTGCTATTTGTTCTTGATCTATATAATTTTGTTTTGGTATTTTACCGCCAACAAGTTTTTCAGCAAGACTACTTAATAATTGTTGAACTTCACGTTGTTGAGTATCAAGTCGTTGTAATTCGGCAATCTAATGAAAGAAAGAAAAAACACAAATCTCGAAATCAAATATATATATATACATTAAACAAAAAATGTTAACCTTTTCAGCTGAATCAATACTATCAACTTTAATTTTTGCTTGTAAACCTATTAAATCTTGTTGAATAGTTTTAATTTCGCTTTCGATTTTTTTACGTTGTTCATTATAACTTTTTAAATCTCTATTTGTTTTATATGTATTTAATGCATCATCTAATTTTTGATAAAAACTTGTTCGTTTTAAATTAAATTCAACAACTTGATCCCATATTGCTTGAATACGCATACGTACTTCATTACTTTCATTATGTGTTATTGAAAAATTTAAACGAACTAATACAATAACTAAACAAAATAAACCAAATAATGGTATAACAATTAACATTGGTTCATTGAATAACATTATCTTATCAAATGTATAATGAATTTCAAAATCTTGTATATGTTGAAAAAGCATATTACGTTTAGTTATAACAATAACTGGACGACCAACTGTATCCAAATATGTATAATGTTTTTCATTTGATAAACGTTGAACATCATATGGTGGAGGATAAAATTCAATATTACGTGTATGTTCAGGTAAAACTATTTTAATTGTAACTTGTTCAAGTAATTGATCATCATAAACATGATCAATAAGACGCATTTTAAGAACATACTGATTTCCTCTATGATAAAAAAAAAACAAGACAAAAAGTTTTCATATATATTTTCTAATGTCATAGGAAAAATTTGTCAAGAATGAATTATGTGAGTGTTATAGCATGCACGTAAGGCGTATCATAAGACCACTATATTACAGGTATAATCCATATATATTCGTTCTCTTTCTTTCTGTACATAAATATATATATTGTTAACTATGTTTCGTTCTGTCAGGTATTTTCCCTAGTGTGTTTTCTTGTTTTGATGCAATAATTCATATATTTTTTCAACTTTATTATATTATGTATTAGTATATTCTGTTTCTCGTAACATTCAATACATATGTACATCTATTCTTTCTATGAGAGTTTAACTGACTTCTCTAATTTAACAAAATTTGATATGTTTTAATATCATAAATAAACTCTATACCCAATAACAAATATCAAGCATAAAACAATTAGCTCTTTTTTTTTTGTTGAGTTAGGACTAGAGATGTGCGGGACCGAAATATTTTGATCTCGATCCCGATGACCGAAATTGGTGCCGCACCTCTCTAGTTAGGTGCAGTTTCATTAGATTTTCATTCCAAGAAAATGTTTATTTAAACTAAAAATTTAAAATTATTTTATAAGTAATAAAAATAGATTAATTATTTGGAAATGCTATCCCATAAGTACAAATTCAACTGTTTTTCGGATCCGAACTGATCATATTTGCAATGTTACTAAAAGTTTTTTAGCTCGAATCTTCAAGTCACATCGAAGACAGTGGCAGATTTAGTGTTTTGGTGAACGGGGGTGATTATAGTCATAGAACGCATTTTCTGTTGAGCAAAATCGAATATTGATTCGAAAAAAAAGGGATGATCATTCCTCTCTAAATCCGCCATCGTTCGAAGATGCAAGATACTTTTTATTATTTGTTTTCAGCAAGTAATCTATTTCTCAAGAGATGTTTTTATAATACTAAAGACATAATTGGCTATTATTTTTAGCATCTCATCTTTCGAATCAATAGAAAATTTCAATATCCAGGACAAATTCGCCGAGCTTTCCTCTTTGCATACTGATAAATAATTGTTCATAATAAAAAAAAAATTAATATCTTACTTATTGAAGAGATATTGATATGATGGAACATTATAACCAAGTATATAATGAGTTTTCCAACCGCCATATAATGGAAAACGTGGACGAATTTCAACTTCAACTTGATCTTGCATTTCTTTAACATGACTTGTTGAAACATTACCGATTTCATCACGATAATAAACATCACGAGCAGAAGCTGGTAATGATGTCTATTAAAAAGAACAAAAAAAAAAAAAATCGATTTTTCTTCTTTCTTGTATAAATAAAATTTTTACTTTGAATGTTTTTACAGCTGAATAACTCTCTTGTCGTCGTTGAAAATCAAGTCTTGAAAAAGGTCCTTTTAATTTAGCACCACTATGATATATATCAATTGTTTCTTCAACAGCTATATTTCCCCAATGTGATATTTCAATCCAACGGTTTAAATTACTAACAGTTAAAAATGGATTATTATTTTCATAATGTAATGATATATCATTTCGTGTGAATGATGCAACATTTTCATATGGTCCATACGTTATTGTTTGATCATTTTTAGCAACAGGTTTTGGTGTTTGTGTATACGATTCAGCACGATCTGTTGGTAATGTAACTGTAGTTTTTTGTGTTTGTGTTGTATAACGTGAATAATAATAAGCATTAGTTTTATATAATACTAATTGTCGTTCAGCTTGTGTAATTTCTGCGGGATACATACGAAGAGCATGAGCATGAGCAACTTCGATTTCAAGTGTAATTGTTTGACCAGCACGAAGATCATTTGGTAATTCAATACGATAAACAGCTCCTCTACAAAATAGACAATTTATAAAACAAAAATAGTTCAATCTCTACGAGACTTTTATTCTATCTATAGCAAGACGTTATCAATATATGGTCTGTAGTCGGGGCCGTTCAAATTTTTTTACCTCTATACTTTAATATTTCTTTTACAATGTTTTCATAAAAATGCAAGATGTGGTTTTTTTTTTTTCTACGTACTTTGTCTTATCAGTAGCTTCTTGTTTTATTGGTAAACTGCCTTGATCATCATTATCTTTAGCTTTAACCTGAAAAAGAAAATAAGATTATATACAGTTTCTATTTCTATGCAATGTTAGTTAATCAATGTACATTGAAACGTTTACCTTGACTCAAAAGAAAACCTTCTCGAAAGCCTTCCTTTTTCTTTTGCCTATAGATACTACATAGTGTTCTAATAAAAATCCTAAAAGGATTTAAGTTCCTACTGAAACTTATTTCCAATTAGGAAGAGGACTTCCACCTCCTAAAGCACGCGACTTCCTGCGAATAATAACTTTGGAAAACAAGCAGATTTTGAAACATCATTCGCCATTCCCTAGCGAAGGGACGGGTAGATAGTCTATTGAGGGAGAAGTTGGGTCACGGCGGACTTCATTCTTCCGCCCAGCTCGGTCGTCACTCCTACGTCTAGAAAATATCGATAACCTCTGACTAAGCTATCGAATATTTAATATGTCTACTTCCTAGAGACCCCGAATTTTGAGAAAATGCAACTGGATTAACTTCAATAGAAAATTCAGAAGCCTTGAAAAAAATCTTTTCGAGTTATAATAACTTTCAAGATATAGATCATTTTTCATACATAATTTGTTGAAGCTAGTCTACTTCAGTTCTTGATATGTGTAAAGTTTCAGATCAAAATTCGAAAGTCTGGAGTCTCTAGAAAAAAGACATTAATTTCAATAGGAGCCAAAATCTTTTTCAGATTTTCATTAGAAAACCTATGTAGTATCTATAGGCAAAAAACATTGAAATCAGATGCGGACATCTAAAGACATTTTTTTGTATATAAAATATTTTGTTATTATCTCTAATAAAATTTTTTTTTTTTTGTACATAATTAAAAAATTATGATTAACTTACAACAGCTCCAACGTAAGCAACATTATTAACATGTTGTGGTTCAACATAATAATCATAATACCGTGCTCCTTTTGTTCCTCGATTTTCGATTGTTACACTTATTGTTTCTTTTGGTAAATGTGAAACAAGATCAAGAGTTCGTTCAACATTTGTATTGACTAAACCATCTTGTTCTTGTCCAGCAGCAAAAATAATTGTAAAAAGTATACAAAACAATGATACACGCATCATCTAAAAAAAAAAAAAACAACTTAGTTTCTCGCGACAATATAATATTTAAAAAATTCGATTCAACCTGCATTGTATCGTACTGTAAATCCTCTCTCGAACGTCGATTCAATGGTGACAGCGCGTCGGACGAGGGAAAGAAGAACTAATTGACCAATGAGAAATTATTTTTTAACCACAAACGATTAAATTTTTGTCTTTTTAAAAATATTAAAAATAATCACAAAAAAATAATCAACGAGTTTTCTTAATATATACATCAAGTCATCACTTCTAGTCAAAATGCATAAGTGCATAAAAGAGATCAAATGCATAATAAAGTCGCCACGTAATGCAAAGTGTTGCTGATTCTTAAGAACAACAACATACTCTCTATTCGATAGAATTTTCATCTATTCTCCAATTGATTTATTATTAGTTATAAATATTAAAAACGAAAGATTAAGCATACAACACCAGCAAAATGAGGATGAGAGCGAAGTCTACGACCAGAAAAGGTTTGATCGAAACTACGAGAAAAAGTTGTCTCAATTGGAATTCTCTAGGCTGAGATCGGGGCCAAAAAAAAAAGAAGCTTAATTTCAAACATCTTCACTTTCAACATATAACCACCAAATTAATATGAATAAGATCTGAGATTTCTTTGCAAATAAGAATTCCTACTGAGATACATATAAATGAGAAATATTTTCTATTGAATTAATCTTAATTATTTTCATTTTTTATCATAATTGCTATTTGAATACTTGGTTTAGTTAATTTGAGAATTAAACTATGGCGTTAAACTTATCTTAATCTGCTACTGATCATATTCAAAAATTAGTTCATGAATATTCAGTTGTAATTTTTTCGAAATCTTATTATCAGAAAACAAAACACATTATATCAAAATATAAATTAGATAATAAATATTATATTCTTGAACTTAACCAATTATCAAATACTAATGAGTATCAAATAGAATTACGAAAATTAACAAATGATAGAACTGTACCACGTATATTTATTGATAAAAAATATATTGGTGATGAAGAAGATCTTGAAAATTTGGAAAAAAAAGTATGATTTGAAATGTTTAGTAAAGCAATTGAAGATTTATAAATGAATTTTATATTTATAATAATCCAGCATTGTTTTGAAAAATAAATTCTAATCAAGCTATAGATATTTTTTCATAACATTAGTAGGCATATATTGACACTGAAAAGTATTCGATTGAACGAACATCTAGAGTGACTCCTAAAATTATTCCCCCAGGTTTATTTTCGAAGATGTAAATGATTGCTTATTTTTCAAGAATAGGGTCTCTGAAAAAGCAAAAGACCAAGTTTTTGAGCTTCTAGAATTTGCAAATAAAATTCTGTTTGAATTGGGCAGATAGATAGAGGAGACGATTCTCTGAAAAATAAAACATCTTCTAGTACTGTACGTCGGTTTGTGATCGAGATACATCAATTTTACGGAAGGCACAAAAATTATGTTTTAATACGAAATAACAGAAAGAAAGACTTTTGTTATTGAAAATAAATCTGGATGAATATTTTGGAAATCACTTTAGATCGTATACATTTTCCAAAGAAATCTAAATGTTTTCCTGTCTGTCAGATGCTTGTAAAATTGATTCTTTTATTCGTTTATGATTTAATATTTTTGATGTGTCTTATTCATTTTCTATGGCAATATTTTTAATTATACAGTCCACATACTGCTTTTATGAGCATCATTTTGATGCCTGCATCGTATCCATAAAAAACCGATTATAGCTAATGCGATCATACTAACGAACACTAGCATAATTGTGCTGCGTCTAAAATACAAAACAAACAAAAAAAACGGCATAAAATAGTATCCTTTATTTTTTTTTTGATTATATCAAATCGTTTTAAGGTTTATCTAGAAGAAATAGGTGATTTTTGTTATCATGTCAATCAAAAATATTCTCAAAATTCAAATATATTTTCGATTTTTAAAATATAGATAATTTAGTTGATCGTACGATGACATTGATGTTGATAATTTCTCTGTACTTTCATTATTATCATCATTACTATTGGATGATAATGTCGTAAGAGGATGCGGAAAACTATTGTCAACGGCCATTCTTTGAAGATAAATTGGTGACAATTATTCATTAGGACAGTAATATGGTGAAATATCACAATGAGGTGATTAACAATGCGGATTAATTGTTGGCTAAGGTGTTGCTATTGTGTATGATAGTTATGCTTACTATTAGGTTGAAAGTGCTTACGAGATGGTTTTCTATCAAGACTTTTATTAACTATGGGTGCAACCTGATCCACTACCTCTACAAAAGTTAATATGATTGTAATAACATTCATACTTGCTTTCATATCTACCATTATAATTAATTTGTGTATCGGAAAACAAAAAGCAACGCTCGAAATTAACAAAACAATTGATATTTAAAAAAAAAAGAAAAAAATATCAATTGAATATAAAGAATTGACACCGCTGAATTTCAATTTAGACTGTAACTACAATAGTTTAACATCTTAACTGTTAATTTTTAAAAAATTTAACAGTAAAAGTTTAGTAAAATAACATTCAGAAATTTAAAAACATTTAATAATCATCGAGAAAATAATTCTACGACAATTATTTTGAAATTGAAAGTTTCGCTTAGCCGGTAACTTTCATTGACATATATTATACGTCAATAACGGTTAAGGGATTCATCGTTATCAATCTTACGGAAAATATAATTTTAATTGAAGCGGGTATGCTCTGTAAAATGGTTGGGCTCCATCAGAAAGTAGTCTGATATGCATAAATAGATAAAATATAGAAAATGTGACTGAATTGTGAAATAAAACAATAAGTAGCTTGCTTAGAAAATAACATAACAAAATAATTAGTAGGTAATATGTACGAAAATAAGAGAATCGTTTTTCTGGAAGCGTAAGCCAAATCAAGTCGCATAAGAGTGATGGTTTTCGTATACATTTCGACTTCTGATAATTACTAGGTTTCTCATATTATTCATCTAGGATTTATTTATTTTTTTACCGAAATTGATTAATAAGTGATACAGATATTTGAAAACTCTGTAGAATTATATACTAATACGAATAAACAGAAACTATATTTTCTGCTAAGAAAAGTAAAATATCGAATAAAAACCTATGTGCATTATTAGAATGAAAATCAAATGTCATAAAATCAAACAAACCGTACAATGAAAAACACTTTAAAATTAATAAAGAATAAGAATTTGATTGAGTCGTCTTAGTAGTTACTTCTTATGAGTTCTCTGAATGGCAGCTACTGTACATTCTGCTATGTTTAAATCATTATTATTGATAATATCGATCAAAAATGTAATACTCTGAGACTGTATGAATATTATTTGAAATAGCCACAACAGTGTTGATCTAGTACCATGATGGCATTGATGTTGCAAACACTTTTTTGATACTGTCACAGTGACAGTGAGAAAGTTTTCCTTTTTATGACCGCAGTGCAATATCGAGAGACTTTTAGTTGTGGTAACCATCTCCGAAAATACGATCACATATAACATATTTTAAACATTTTTAATACTCATTTCATGTGTATTTTTATTTGTATATTTAGCATTATTTGCAATATACCTAAATTTATTCAACAGTTTTTTGCTACATTTACTTTAATGTTTTTTTTTTAATTAGATCGATTATTGTAGAGAGAGGCATTATCAATTTGTAATCATGCTCTTGTTAAAATTGAAAAAAAAATCTTACGGCAATTTTAAATGCTATTGTTTTAATTTGATTTATAACAAGAAAATCGTTCAAGTGAGAAAAAATTAATGTATGAATAATATTGACATGAATTTATTTTGAAGATCTAAATATATGACTTTCAGAAACAAAAAAACTTGGTATAGGTTGATTTACGGATATACTGTTGGTTCGACCTCCACAAGTGCTCTAATAATCTTCAGTGTCCATCAAGCAGTATAAAGAATTTTATAGCGTCAATGTTTGATCAAAATGTGATATCCTATATATTGTTCAATGCTCCGTGAGCTACTCTACAAAATGATATGTATGGTTTGTTTTAATTCAAGTAACTTCGTCAAATCCGACAGCATCCTTTTGTTTGTCTATATATATTATATATGAGCAAAATCAGTCGTTAACGACATAACTTAGAAAAGGACATCGATTTTCACTTGATGTAGTTTAATTTTAAAAAAGTTTGAATTAAGGCAGCATCTTTGAAGATTAAATAGTACATTCTCTGTAGACAACTCTTAGTGCTTTAAAATCTCTGCTCAAAGTCATTTTTGGAACATGCATACATTTTTCCAAAAAATTCGATTTACTTTTCGTTAGCAACGTGATCGAGTACGAATATACAAGCGAAAAAAATGCTCTTATATCTGAATGAAAAGTTTAGAATGCGACATATACATACACAGAAAACTTAGAAACATACACTATGAGCATTCAGATTTTTTAGCTGCTTGATTCTTCGTTGAATATAGTCGGAGTATATGCAATACTCTATTAGATAGCTTTTTGTCAGATCGGGTGACATGTTTGTTCGTGTTCTGCTTTTAACTATCCTCTTGACAAGTTGGCTGTCCTTTTTTGCCTGTTTGTCGGAGCGAGTGTCAATGATACTCAATCACTTTGAATTCAAGTGAATGAGAAGTTTTGTTGATCATATATATTAGCTTTTTTGATGCAGACGTGTTGTATGCATCAATTGTACCTTAACTATCTATGTACCTATCAACGTATGTTAGCTGACTCAACCATTAAACTCGTCGAAGACGTAGCAATTGGAATTTCCTGTTGAATATTTCAATCCCCAATTGTCGACTAACTGCTGGTGATATCTGACGAGAGAAATTTTGTGATGTAGTTGATCTGATTTAGTCAGTAGTATTGTTTCATGCAAGCAAGTAAAAATATAAGTCATTATTCGGCGATTACTACAAAATTGCATCAATCGCTTTTGAATTTCTTTTTGAGTAGATAAACTATTATTCG